CCTAAAACTCTTTCAAGAGGAGGTGCTGCTGGAATAAAATCTTGAAAGGTGACTGGATTTTCCCGATAACCTATGGAAGGCACACCCCAGACAGGGGGATATTAAAGTCTCAAAATTATTTTCTTTCATTGCAGTTTGAGATGGGCATCAGATTAAAACATAAGAACAAGGTTTGCAGAAAATATGAGGACATGAGTTTCTTGGCCTAGTCTCAGGTTAACTGAACATATTGGAGTATATTAATTTTGAGTGGCTGCTATGAAAATTACCACAGAGTTACTGGCTTATAACAGCAGAGATTTATTCTCGCAGTTCTGGAAAAGTCCCAAATCAGTATCACTGGACCAAAATCCAGGTGTCATCAGGACCATACTCTCTCTAGAGGCCGTAGGAGGAAATTCATTCCTTGTCTCTCTAGTGGCGGCCTCACTCCTTGGCTTGTGGTCACAGCACTCCAATTTCTTTCCCTGTGGTCAGATTGCCTTTTATTCTCCATCTGTGTTTGATCTCCCCCTGGCTAGCTTTTATAAGGATACATGTAATTGCATCTAGGGCCACGTGGCTAATCCAAAATAATCTCCGTATCTCCAGATCCTTAACTTCATCACATCTATAAAGTCTGCTCTTACCATATAAGGTGACAGAGGCAGACCCCCGGGATTAGGATATGGATGTGTTTGTGGGGAGGGGTATTATTCAGCCAGCCACACAATACAATATCTGGCTATTGGAAATTCTCACAGGTATCATTTTTCTGCAACAGTAGTGCATCAACTCTAATCTTTTGTACATAAATCTGACATTGCCATTCTCTTCACAGTGGAGCCTCAGTATTTGTCTCCTCATAAAAACCAGCTTTGGTGGAGTCTGTGTAGCCCTGCATTCTTGGGATTGTGCACAAAGGAGACTACAGAGGGAGCCCCTGCCTTAGAGAACCATCAGAGAAGCTCTAGTGATGGGCTTCTGCATGACAGGGTTCTGCTTAGCCTCCCTCATCACCCCTCCACCCCATCATGTTTAGGACGCAGTGAAACAGAGGTTGATTCTAGGTCTATCTGAGCACTCTGAGCCTGGGGAGAAAGGACAACTAACAGCAGCCTCACGAATGAGCTTGGCAGGGACTCAGGTGACCCAGCAGTGGTAACCTACGTCCTATAGCTCTAACAGTATTACTGAGTGACTTTATACCCTTCATCCAACACCCATTAGCACTAACATGACACAAACTAAGAATTTGACATTGGCACAACTAAAGACTCTATTCATATTTTCCCAGTTTTTCTAATAATGAACTTTTTCTACCCTAGTATCTAATCCAAGGTCCCATATCGCATTTAGGTGTCATATCTTCTTAGTGTTCTTCAATTTGTGACAGCCTCTTACCTCGTTTTTAATGATATTGACGTTCAACGATTACTGGTCAGGTATTTTATCGAATGTCTTTCAATTTAGGTTTGAAGGAATATTTGAAGGATTTGGAGGAATATTGCAGCTATGTAGTCATGATAACATTACAACATCGTATGGTAAAAGAATGCACATGAGGTTAACAAGACTCATTATGGGTCATGTTTATTAACTTTGGTCACTTGGTTACCATTTTCTTTATTTCCTGTGTCTATTCATTAGAGGCAGGCCACTGAATCCAAGAGAGGGGAATCTGGAGGGTGGAGTAAAAAAGGATGTGTGGGCATATGTTAAAACCACCATATTAATTAATATTTGGGGGATGATACTTTGTGACGGTACAAATGATCCATTTTTTCTTAAAGTTACACCCACTAATTTTAGCAGTCGTCATTGGATCTTATGTGCAGCAAGCACTTACAATGGTGTGGTAATGGTGACTTTTCTATTTCCCTCTCTTTCTTCTACATATGCAATTTGGAATTCTTCATTAAGAGAGTGTCCTTTCTAACCATTTGCTTATTATTTCTTTCTTTCTTTAATCATTTCATTCTCAGTGTGAACTTACGGATTTCCTTTTATTCTTTGTATTTTAATCCACTACTGACGTTATTTGGTTATTCAAATTGTTCCAGCCATAGTCACTGGGGGAGCTCTTTCAGACTGATTCCTCTGTTTTTTTTGAGATGTGTCCAATCCTTTTTTTTTTTAAACATCTCATTACAACATTCGTGTGTGTGTGTGTGTGTGTGTGTGTTTAATCTCAGGGTCCTAGAATCACCTCTCATTTTTTAAATTGGAGAATAATATTTGGCAACTAACATCTGAGCCCTAGTGGTCTTACAAGTGGGCATAACTATGAAATATATGTATGTATACTAACCCATTATTCACACAAGTATGTATTCATTTCTTTACTGTTTTATATTTTATAACAATAAATTCATACTGATATCTCCAAACAGATATTCTTATACATTAGAAATATTCTTTAGTTTTGCTTTGAGTCTTAAGTTACTTGGAAACAGTTTGATCTTTTGAAGTCTCGCCAACATAGGCCCAGAACCAAATTTAGTGAAGGGCTTATTTTGCTTTTATACTGAGGCACACATCATCTAAAACCTCTACTGATTGACCCACAAATTATTAAATTTCCCATTTTCATTGCAAAAAAAAAAAAAGTATGACTCCCAGCCCTTTGTGAGCTCCAGGCATTGCTTCCTCTTGTCTTGATGAGTGGCTCTTCCTCTAACCTTGGGGAGTTTCCTCACACATGTACTGTTTACAGCACAGCTGAAGGGTTAAGGGAGACCCTATGAAGGTATGAAGGTCTCCAGGATTCTCTCTGTGCAGCAATTGCTTTTTCAGTTCCCTGTGAAATCTAGCTGCTTTAATGTTGTGTTTTCAACTCTGACTCTGAGCTCAGTGAGATCACCCAGCTCTGCCTCAATTCCCCTTTCTGGCCCACAGCCTGGAAACTCCCTCTAGGTATTATTAAGACAGTCATAGTTCTCAGCTTCGTTGTTTCCATCTCTCAGAGATCATTGTCTTTTGTTGCCTGGCTTCCAATGCCTTGACAACTGTTGTTTCACATGTTGTGTGTATAGAGCAGGGTGGGATGGGGGGTGGGGTGTTAGCTGTTTCAAGCAAGAAGTTAAATAGAATTCCTGTTAATCCATCTTGGTTGGAAGCAGAAGTTTACTCGAGAACCATACTGAATTTCCTAATGCCAGGTCCCCAAGGGTTTTAATGGTTATGGAACTTTTTGTCAGTTTTTGGGTATATGGTTTACATTCCATGGGAAGAGTATATTTCATTGCAAACACATGGGAGACACAGCCTGAAGATTCAACTTTTCTCTCCTAACGTTTCCTCTTTATCTATCACCCAAAGGCCTGACCAAACATCCAGTTTCCAACTGCATTTCTTGGTCTTTGGGTTGTAATATTTTTAGTTCACAAAATCTGGGAGCATTTTGAAGCTCCAGGATTAAGGTAAGCAATGTAATTCCGGCTCCTTTGTGTCCTCTCTTTCATATGATCATCAAAATCCCAGCTCCAGCTGTGAGGCCTATACTGCTCTGAAGCTTATACGTCTTTTTGATTTTTAACTTCCCCTTAATACTCTGCCTATAAGCTCCCTCTTTTTTTCTACATGGTAAATTTCCTTTTCTTTTTAGCTTGACTGTACATTGTTTTATAGCACTGGCATCGTTTTAAACTTTTATGGTAAATAGTGTATCAAATTTAAAAAGGAAAAATTTTAAACAAAGACAAGAGTATTCATATTCTTTCTGCTCTTTCTATAGTCCTTTTATCTCTCCAAATAACCAGCAAAATAAATCACAACTGTTTTTCTTCCTTGCCCAAGCATATAAAACTGTGTATAAACTGTAAGTAAACAACATGTGAAACAAATGTTGTTTCAATGTTGTGTGTTTGTGTGTGTGGAAGGGGGAAGGGTGCAGGGGTGGGGTGTTAGCTGTTTCAGGCAAGAAGTTAAATGTAAATTCTTGTTAATCCATCTTGGTTGGAAGCAGAAGTTAATAGGGATATTTACTGATTTATTTCTTTCTTAAATAGTTTTATACGCCATGCATTATTTTGCAACTATTTTCCCCTTGGAAGTTTGTCTTTACCATTCCTACAAGTGAATGGATAAATATGCCTATTCGGCATTCTTTTTACTTTTTTGTACATATGAAGTAAGCACACACCACGTAAAAGTGATAGGATCATTTCTGGATGCATAACTTTTGTTAGTGCTTTTATAATTGTCAAAAGTATAACTATAATTGAAAGATGAAACTGACAAACTCATTAAAAAGTAACAAGTCCCTAATAGAAGAAAAATATATATAATTTTATACACACAGGGGGACTTACAGACCTGAAGATGCACTCCATAGTTATAATACTGCTTGACAGAGGTAAGGGACATTTTATGTTCTCTGTGTCATTGAATGGGGCACAGAGTAGGCCCCATTTTATTTTCCTGGTAGGAAACAGAAAAAGAAAAGATGAGAGTTGAAGACATGTGCAAGAATTTCACAACCATCTTGGTACACATAGTCTAAGTCGGATAAGGAATAAAGTATATGAGGAGGTGATATATGGTGCAGTGCAAGGAGAAGTCACTTAGTGGTCCTAATGGGGTTGAAGAATTGCTGTGGAAGTAGTACCAGGGATGAAAAAGAGAAGTCTGCCCGAGACAATAGGATGCCCGAGGAAGCTATTTGAGGGTAATTCAAATAATTTGTCATTGAAAGTCTAGAAAAGGAAAACGGAAATGAATATCTGACATAAGGTGAAGGAAATGGTCATTTGAATTGAGCAACTGAAAAACCTGAGAAGCCAAGATTGATGTTGGAAGTCATCAAAGATGTTGAAAGTTTGAAGGGAAAAAAGAAATGATGAGAAGACATGATGAAAAGCAGCAAAGGAGATAAGCATCCAAGTGCAATCGCTGCAGTTTTCAGCTCACTCAGTCACTTGAAAGCTCCAGTCAGTCTGTGACGCTCACCTTAAACTTGGACTCATATGTGAGGAATCCCAGGATCCATCCCACCCACTCACTTGCTACCAAGTCTCCTAATGTGATGCATCCTTATGATCTGTTCTTGCCTTGCCTAGGGATATGTGAAACACCAAACCTATGTACTTCCTGTGCTAGGGGAGGAGGAGAAAGGGCTGCTGAGAGCTGCTGGGTACTGGAGGAGAAGAGGAAGCACAAGGGTTTCTGCACAGGGAGTGGGTGATTCTGCAGCACTGTGACTAAACCACTGGCACAAAGATACACAGCCGAGTCCCTGGCTTCTGAAGGCTGGATCTTCAGAGTGGATAAAGATGCAGTAGGCATCTCTGCTGAGAATCGATCCTTGGGCATCCCTGAATCATCTAGAAGAGCCCGGTTGCGTAAGTAAGTCAGCAACTCCAGTCCTTGCATCACGGTCTGTCTATACCAGAAAACAGTATTGTGGCCGAAAACTGGGTGACATCTCATAGTTACTTCTTGTCCCATCTCTGTCACCTTGTGCCTTGGTGTCTGGGTGACTCTGGCATCTGTGAGCTCTGTGAAAAGAGATAGAATCTGGGGACAGAATAAGGCCTGTGATTGGAATCATAACTGGTAATATCCAAAAATGCAGATGCTTTATTTATGGAGACTCACCTTCTCCCAGGAGACAAAGGACCACACAGAAGAGGAGCTTGGTGACCATGGCAGGGTGGGGAAGGTGGCGCCTTCCCCTAGATGAGGCCCTGTGGGCATGAATACCAGGAGCTGGGGATTCTAGGCCTCTTGCTTACCTGATATAAAAGGGGACTGTCAGTGACATTACCATCTCTGTTCCTGCTCAAAGGACCTTCCTCCAAAGGTGAATGCTAAGTCTCTACAGAAGATTGACTGAAATAAATTATAGTTACTCTGGGATGTGATTGGTTCACTCAAAGATTCTAAGTACCCCCATGAGTTGTCACCTCTCCTAGCTCCAGTGCTTCTGCAGCATTGCACATCACGTCACCTATTCTGCTTTCTCTGATGTGTCACATATCTGCCTGGTGCATATTGCCACTTAGGTGTGCCGTCAGCACCTCAAGTTCTGGACATCAATAAATTACTTGTGAAATCTCAAGAACTTTATGATTCCCCTCACTGGCAATCCCTATATCCTAGACACACAAAATCAAACTAATAATGTGTTGCTTAGTTAGACCTTTGCCCAGATCCCTCCTGGAAGCATCTGGACTGCCGTTCTCCTCATGCAGAGAACAGGTGGCTTCCCTGAAAAGAGAACTGTGCAGATTTTATTCCCAGTGAGGGCTGGAGATGGACCCCCTTGTGCTCTGTGACTCTCCCAGCCCACAGCACAGTGTCTTCTGCATTTCTGGAGGACAGGGTCCCATCACTTCCCCAGGGTAAGGTTTAAAATTGTTAATCTTTGGGGATGGGTGAAAATTGAGCAGGGATAAGTGATAGCTTTGACTTACCTTGAAAAAACACAATAAGGCACTCTCCAGTTAAATGTGATCTTCCTCTTCTAAGAAAGCACTAAGAGGTTCCTTTAATGATGAACTCTTGATCCTCTTGCTGGAGTAAGTTAACCAGTACCCACAAATAAATTCTTTCTGGTGAGGTGATGAAATTCAAGAAAATGGCCCTTTTTAGGGTATAGATCGCAGTAAGATTTCTGTTCATAGAGTGGATGGGACACACTAGCTCCATGTCTTTGCTGCTGGCACAGAGATTTCTCCTCCCACACCCCAAACAAGGGGGTATGTCAGGTGACAGAGAAACCTATGACTGGCAGGGTGAGAAGCTACAACAGTGATATTTTTGTGACATTGGAGAATCAGCAGTAACCACTCCTTTCTGGTCCTGGGTTTATTTGTATCTGTGTGTGTGTGTGTGCGTGCACACACGTGTGTGTGTGTGTGTGTGTGTGTGTGTGTGTGTTAGTGAGACTTAGTTTGGAGGGAAAACGGAGGTAGGAATCATGTGTGCTCTTTTACTTCTATGCTTTTATGACCCCCCAAAAAACCCACAGCTTTTTATTGTAATGTGTGTGTGTGGGGCGGGGGGGTCTTGTGCTATCTCTGCAATCAGGTATCTTCAGACTCCATAGCATCCTGAGATTTGTGGATCGAGAAGGCAGAACCTAGATATAGGGCTTAGGAAGGAAGATGAAAACATGCACAGAAAGCACTTTGATTCAAGGCCACTGTATACTAGGATAGGGATTTTATTCTTTTTCTTTTCTTTTTTTTTTTGCATATCCAGGACTGTCTTCCAGGATACAGAGTCATGAAACAAAGGAACTGTGGGCATACACCAAGAACACATGAGTGAGGTATTTTCTTCCTCCGTGCTCTGATCTTCAATGGAAAAAGAAGTCAGACTTTGGGATACCACAGGCCCTAGTAATTTTTCTGATGATATTCATGTATTTGTCCACTTATGAGGAATGAGGAGCCCTCTGACTTAGACCACAGTTAGACTGTCCTTCTCAGGCCCTGGGTTGAGATGCCACATCAGCAGGATGGAACCAGGCCAGATTTAAAGGAAAGCCCATTTCAACAGCTTCCCTGATGTTCCTGGCACAGTTGCTGTCTCAATAATGGGCATTAGCTTATGAAACACCAAGATTCTTTTGTCTTTCTTTTAATGAAGACCACTTCTTTGAGCAGGAAGAGGCTTCTGTTACTATACTGTCACAGAGATGACCCTGTCCCACTCCCATCTAGCATTAATATGTGGAGTGTTACAGGGCTGGGTCCCTATCTACATAATATTGGCCATGATTACTGCAGTCTACCTTTGTGCCACCTAAGAAAACATTGCTGTGGGTTAATGAGGCTTAGTTTGGGGGATAAAAGGAGACAGGAATCACATGTGCTCTTTTACTTTTATGTTTTTCTGATCCCAACAAAACCCACGCCTTTTTATTGTAATTTGAACTGCATTGTACCAATGGTGTATCAGTGGCTCCTTTGTCTGACAACTGCCCCAAACTTGCCTAAAATCCCAACCTCACTATTGGTCTTAGCCCATTTGCACAAGCTGAGAAGTCCTTGGGTCCTCCCTTGTCTTTCCAGTGCTTTCTTGGTGCTCAACAGATAGGGCTTATGATTCCAGGACCAAGCCTGAGCTGCTTCTTAGCTTCCCACTGCCAGACAGTTCTCTCAGCAGCTCTAAAGTGTCAGTGAGTGGTTGTGGCACTGTAGTACTGTCTCCTGATGGCCAGAAGGACTCAGTCACTAGAAATGAGCCCTTTGTCAAGACCTGAAGTAGTATATGCTGTGTTACATTGGCACAGTGATCAGGCACAGGGTAACCACTCTTTCCGACTAAGACTCAAAGAACCTGAGAGAGAAATATTCATGTCAGATCAACTAAAGTCGAAATGTGAGCTTTGGTTCTGGCAAAGAAGAGGCTGATGGGTGTGGTGGTGTGCACCTGTAATCCCAGCTACTCGGGAGGCTGAGGCAGGAGAATCGCTTGAACCCAGGAGGCAGAGGTAACAGCGAGCTGAGATCATACCACTGCACTCCAGCCTGGGCGAAAGAGCAAGACTCCCTCTCCAAAACAAACAAACAAACAAACAAACAAACAAACAAACAAAAAAAAAAAACAAACAGAGGGCAGAGCTTTGTAGCTTGGTGGGCTGGCTAGCATTCTCCTGAATCAAATATGCCCTTCCATTACCTTTTCCTTAGTGGACAGGATCCCATACTGAATGAAAAGTCGGCTCACAATTTTTTTTTTTTCTTTTCGAGATGGGGTTTTGCTCTTGTTGCCCAGGCTGGAGTGCAGTGGCGTGATCTTGGCTCACTGCAACCTCCACCTCCCAGGTTCAAGTGATTCTCCTGCCTCAGCCTCCCGAGTAGCTGGGATTACAGGCATGTGCCACCACACCCAGCTAATTTTTCTACTTTTAGTAGAGATGGAGTTTCACCATGTTGGCCAGGCTGGTCTCTAACTCCTGACCTCAGGTGATTCCCCTGCCTTACCCTCCCAAAGTGATAGGATTACAAGTGTGAGCCATTGTGCCTGGCCTAGGTTAAGCTGAATTTCTAGAAGTTTGAAATCTTTGTAAATTTGTCCTGTTCTTGCTCAAGCACATGTAGTGTTAGCAATGTGCACTAGAATTGAATTCCTTCTTAAATTTTATGCTTGCTCTTGTCACTATTCTTTTCAAAATATTCTTCTAGATTTGATCTCTGTGATCTTCTCTATTGAGAGATGTGCGATTAACAATGTCCGGGTCTTCTAAAGCAAGCACCATTAAGACAAATATTGCATATCTTTAATTTTCTTGGTTAAGCAATTGCATCCAAAAGCTATTCTCATTTTTTGTTTGCCTGCTGCCTGCTTTTCCTTTAATATGTTCCACCTTTCTTACACTTCCCTAAGAATCATAATTTTAAAAATGATTAGGCAGGTTTCTTTCAAACACAGGCTAGAGCTGAAAGTCACATCATTTGAGTGTCTTCAATCCATGTCTCAGGGCACCTATTATGCAAAATTTTCAAATTACATGTAACCCTTTATGTAGTGTTGATTTTGAGTCATTCCTCAACAAATCCCGAAATCTTGTCTTCCTATGAAAAGTTTATCCAGTCTCTTCTCTGAGATCCTGCATCTCTTTTTCCTCCACAAGGATTCTTTACATCCATTTATCGCACCTGCCTTAGTAACAACCAAAATAAATCTCTCTATTCTAATAACCCCTTGAGAGCAGTTGACCCTGAGTGCATTTCCTCTTCTCTTTAAAATTTATCTTTCCTAGATATGAGAGCCTCCTCTTTCTTTCTCTTTCTCTTTCTCTTTCTCTTTCTCTTTCTCTTTCTCTTTCTCTTTCTCTTTCTCTTTCTCTTTCTCTTTCCCTCCCTCCCTCCCTCCCTCCCTCCCTCCCTCCCTCCCTCCCTTCCTTCCTTCTTTCCTTCCTTTATTCTTTTTCTTTTTTATTTATTTATTTTTTTTGAGATGGAGTTTCGCTCTTGTTACCCAGGCTGGATTGCAATGGTGTGATCTTGGCTCACTGCAACCTCTGCCCCCTGGGTACAGGCAATTCTCAGCCTCCTGAGTAGCTGGGATTACATACACATGCCACCATGCCCAGCTAATTTTTTGTATTTTTAGTAGAGACGGGGTTTCACCATGTTGACCAGGATGGTCTGGATCTCTTGACCTCGTGATCCACCCACCTCGGCCTCCCAAATTGCTGGGATTACAGGCTTGAGCCACCACGCCCAGCCCTTTCTTTCATTGTGGGTGAGGTCTCAGTCTGTCACCTAGGCTGGAGTGTAGTAGCATGATCTTGGCTCACTGCAACCCCTGCTTCCCAGGCTCAAGGGATTTTCCCACCTTAGGTTCCTGAGTAACTGGGATCACAGGCATGCACTGTCAATCCCCAGCTAATTTTCTGTATTTTTAGTAGTGATGGGTTTCACCATGTTGCCCAAGCTGATCTCAAACTCCTAAGCTCAAGTGATCCACCTGCCTCGGATTCCCAAAGTGCTGGGATAACGGGTGTGAGCCACCACACCAAGAACTTCCTCCTTCTTTCACCTGAGAAGTATAAGTCTTCTAAGAAGTTACAACTATTC